CGGCGGGCGCGGAGGGCAGTTTCCTGGCCGCCTGGCTGAGCGCGGCGGCGGCGGCGCCGCGGGAGGGGCTCCGCGACTTCCAGCACACCAAGCGGGTCGGCAACTACCTGATCGGCAGGAAGCTGGGAGAGGGGTCCTTCGCCAAGGTCCGGGAGGGGCTGCATGTGCTCACCGGAGAGAAGGTACCGCGACCGGGCCGGGGCCGCCGGGCGCCCCTCGGGGGGGGCGGGGGGCGGCTGGGGAGGTCGGCGGTGTGTGAGATGAGTGTGCCGGGTCTCTGCCGGCCGGGAGGATGAGCCCCCGGGGAGACACCCCCCCTCCCCCCCGCGGGGGGCGCCGAGCCGGGGGCCGCGGGGCTCCCTCCCAACTTCCCCGCGGCGCTGCCGCGCGCTGCGGGCGTGGAAACGGCGCTTCTCCCTCGCGTACTGAGATTTCCGTGGCTGTAATGTTGCTTTCCTCTTGAAATACTTCGGTTGCCTCGACCTGTCTTTTTTTTTTTTTTTTTTCTTCTATTTGTTTGCTTATCTTTTGGTCAGAAATGTGTTTTTAATGGTGAGACTGGTATTGCGGATGACCAGTCACCACTGTGTGCCGTCTAGTCGTGACATTTCACGTGTAGGTACATACAGGTACTTCTTGCTTATCAGAGCGATGGGAGATGCTGCGTGTGCCTGCAGGAGGGGGTACAGTTCAGCGATTAGAAGTTGTTGATATCGCGGCATGGCAAAAGATGCGAGCTGCACCCTGGATGTTTTGGGGGTTTTTTTCCTAGGGTGCTGGGAAGAAAAGTCCGTGGTGGGTCTCTGCTTTTTGTTTATTATCCAGAACCCTTCAGTGGAGGCTTTTAGCCATCAATCAGGATGTGTCACAACCTTATAAAGACTAGTAGGGGCTTTGGCTGGGCGGTAAACAGAGCAAGGAGAAGCCTGCTAGGGCCCCCCGATGAAGAGTTGTTGGAGCTATCTGACTTCTGCCTCTGTTTTATCACATGCTTAACAGAGGGCTACCCAAAGCAGGATGCCTTATTGTTACTGAGAGCTCCTTGGACCAGTGGGGCTAAGCAGAGTGTAATTTCCTCCAGCTCCAGCAGCACTGTAAGTGTGCTGCTGTTAAGATTGCATCTTGGTAGCTTGCATTCCTGCACTCTCAGATATAATTTTTTTTCTTTTTTTTCATTCCAGTAAATTTGTCACGGAGTGAAATTTAATATAGGGCTCTGAATTTCATCATGAGAAAAATGATAAGGTTAGTGATTGTTATCATATAGGAATGCAAAAAAAAAAATTTTTTTTGCTCTCTTCTGTTACCAAGCATGTGCTTCTCCTTGGTAACAGATACATCCAATGATCCTCCAGTTGATAAAAAGGCACATGCACACACACGTCCTTCCCACCTCCACCTTTTTGGATTGCTACATTTATCTCAGTCTGTTAAGAGGGGAAAAAATAAAAAGATACACCACACGCCCCTCTGTCTCAGCTCCCAGGCCTGCTGCTTCCCCCCCGCTCCATGTTTTGAATAACTTGCACTGTGACAAAGTGACAAGCAGAAACTCTAGGAGAATCACACTTCCTTCCTGCTGAGCTGCTGTGTCTGCCTTTGTGGACAGGCATGATGATCTCTGAGCTCTGTCTGACCTGATCTTGTATCATGGGATCAAAGGAAGCTCTTGCTTTCAACTTCAGCTGGTGAAAGATCAGTTGCATAGTTTCAAATTGACTAATCAAAGGTCCATCTTCCCAGAAAATCCACCTATTTAATTCCAGGTATTTATGGATAAGCCATTTGAGTTAATGGATAGGAGATAAGAGTAATTAATTATTTGCTTCAGGTGAGGTCCTATCTCAGTGAGGTTCCTCCCTCTAACCCGAGGGGTGAATGCTTTCCGTCCCACGCGTGACCCCATGGGAGAATTTCACCCCGAGTAGAGAGCTGATGGACACTCAGCTCTTCTGGGCATATTCCTCTGCCAAGCTTTTGCATGGCCTCCAGCCAAAGGCAGCTGAAACGTGCCCAAACTGGCTCTGCCTCACAGCTGCTGGCAGCTCTGCCTACATGGAGCCCACCATGGGTGACTGAGCTCTGCCTGTGATATGAGGAGGAGAAGAAAAACATCTGCTTACCCAGACTCCTTTCTTTTGGAGTGCAAGGCTGTGTCGGAGAGGAGGCTGAGGCTGGCAAGGGTGGGAATGGGATCGGGAGCGAAAGTGCGAGGCCACGTGAGCATGGGGACCAGCAGCAGCAGGTCATGGGAGGAGGTTCTGTGGGAAGAGGACATTTTACGTAAGAAATGGTTTATCCCCATGGCAAAGTACTTCCGCAAAAGCATTCTGATACATGAAGGGCCAGTTCCATTGATTAAGCTATATTTGTGCCTTCTGAGAAATCTCAGTGAACAGCAGACCAGGTGCTGGAGAGTTAGGTATGACAGTGCCATATCTGGGCCTGGGTGACACCGATGCTCAGACCTCACAGACCTCCTTCTCCAGACATCAGACAGCCAAACTCAGGCTGGAGTTAATGGAGCTGTCTGAGACATGGCATCAGTAGCCGCATGTGGCAGTTACCTCCTGTCGTCCCTCCCTACCCACCTCCATCCCTAAACTTGCCTTGTCTTGGGGGGAAAATCCCCCCAAGAGCAACGCCATGCCTCTCCAGAGGCTGGAAGAGAAGATAGCTCCGTAAGGGCCTGATGCTGTCCCTCCGTCCGTGGCGTGAGCCAGGAATTGGACGTGTATAGTCTTCTATTCTGCTCGCTTGCGGAAGAAAAGTTAATCTGCAGCAGTGTACACTTAATACACTCACAAGTGGAGTTCAGCAAAACAAAATGTGGAAACAAAGCTGTCTCCCGTGGACAGCTCACTGGATCAGTGTAATTGCTGCATTTTTCTAAGCTGATGTTTTATGAGCCTATTATTCCAGGATTAGTGCCTGCATGTCAATTTTTTTTTTTTTTTTTTTGCTTTCAAAATACATCTGATTTTTGTCTCGTAAAGCTGTGGTTGAGCAAGGGCATTGCCTGAATTTCAATAAAATTGCCATGATAGTGTAAAGTAGAAGTCTTGCTACTAATGTCTGGTAGCTGTTTTGGCAGAGCCCGGGCCCTTATGGTCACTGAAACATCTGACTTCAGTAAGGGGGGACCAAACAGGTTTTGATTTGCACCAGACTTCAGCAACTCCAGAGGAGTTAATGCGCATTATTGTTTCAGAAAATTGTGTGTTTAGAAATGAAATCTGTGGATTAACGAGTCCCCAGCTAGGCTCAGATCCATCGCACTGACACAATGCATTGTACAGAATCAAGGCAATACGGAATGGATGCCAAAAATCTGCCATTACCTCACCCTGAAATTGCTAGAAGCTAAAGAGGTCTTCAAGAGAGCATGAGATGTTATATATTGTGGGCCAAACTCTAGTTACATTACCAGCTGCTTCGAGGACAGCTTGATAGACAATGCCTTTAGAGTGACCTGTGTGGGACAGGAATCAGCAGCCCCTACTAGCGCCTAAGCACGAGAGGGTGAGCTAAGGTGAGATTTTTAAACCTTCCCTGTGAACGTCTTTAGCATTGGACTTTAAATCAAATCTTTTATGGTACTTCTTGCGGTTTATGTTGCCATAGTGTCAGGCATGTTGTTATTTTCTGGGCTTGAAAAATGTTTGGTAGTGCCTGATGCAATTAAGTGTATTTTAGCTGAGCGCAGGAGAATGTCGAACAGATTATTCTTTCCACTGCTGTTGAATAAAATTATCGCAGCCTATAATCTGACATTTTTGGGTAAAAGGCTGATTTGTCAGATCAGCTCAGGCAGTCTTTATTGCTAATCCTAAGGAAACATAGTTCCTCTATGAAGAGCAAGCCAATTTAGCTTTAAATTGTGGCTCTGAAACCCTGCTGAGTTAGCTGTATTCAGCTAACTTTGCGAGCCTGTGCACAATATACTCTTGGATTGTTTCAAGCCTTCTGCTTGGGGCTCTGAAGGGTCAATTGCTGGGCAACGGGAATCGGGCAAAGGCAGATATTGCAAGATAATGATTTTTTGCATTTTTAGACAGCTGAGATTACGTTGCCATCACTGTGGTGAGGGTGGTATGAGGCTCTGCTAATAGACCTAATAGACTGTGTTATCTGCTGTGGACCCTGATGAAATGTCCGAATAACTCCATATGGCGTTGCGGAGTGACAATGTATTGACAATATATTGAGCCAAAGTTGTTATAAACAAACTTGAACTGGGATTACGTTACCTACTTTTAGGTATAACCTTTAACACTACAAAAAAGTCATTGAGGCAAATTGAATCATTTGATTTCTCATCCGCCAAAAGATTTGTTTATCGTTTCCTTTAGCGCTATTGTTAAGCTCGGAAAAGGTACATTTTTAGTTGCAGTTAGTCAAGTGGCTTTCTGCAACAGTGGGAAGCAGCGGCTAAAAATATAATTTACCAGTTTCTTCTATGGAGGCAAAGCAATTAATATTAAAAGTGGCCTTTTCACAGAAGAGTTCATGTTCAGGATGTATTTCTGTATTAAAGAGGTAAAAAAAATAAGAGATGTATTTGGGCACCCTGGAGGTGCTGGGGTGGGTAGGTGGGCAGAGCAGCCTCCCTGCAGAGAGCTGGAAATGTGTCTTTTGCTCTGGCAGGCCCTCCTCGGAGGAGTGAAGTGTTTCCAAAGGGCACTTGCACGGCTGTCGCCTGCTAGGGGCACATTGCACTGTGTGTATTATGCAAAATTATACACTGGCGTAGCAGGCGTGTTTCTGTGCGAACTTCATGCCCTGCCTTCGCCTTCTGAAGCGCTTTTCAATGAGCACAGGGGGAACGGTACAGCTCCCAGCCTTTTCGGTAGGTGTGGAGCGACTTGGGGCTGGGGCTGCCTGCCATGGAGTCTGTGTGAGATGCAGGTCGTGCAAGTTATGTGACTGCTCTACACCAGCTGAGGCAGCCATCTCCTAAAATGCTTCCTGTGACTAGGCACCGGCTGTCAGTTTAAGCAGCGTTTACGTGAGAGTATAGAGAAGTCCATATTGCGGTGGCATCAGTCCCTGGCCCTGCGCCCCACCTTTCCCATTGCAAGCCCTCTCCTACTGCAGACCCCTCTGTCCTCTTCTTGGGTAGGACAGAGGAGGCAGCTCTCATCTGAGCCCGTCAGGACCTCTTACCTGAAGCAAAGGCTGG